GGGGGGGGGGGGGGTGATTGCGTTCGTCTATTTTACAATCTTCTTCGTGTATACGACCTTCCCGTTGTCGGTGCGACCAGAGGTCGGTAGAGTTCAGTTATTACGCGATGGTAACAAATCTTTAACTCTATGTCTTACAAAATGCTAGATAATTTAGTCGAGGAAAACCTTCTATCTGTGTCAGATCGCTTGCGGACATCTCGAAGTCGAAAAGCTAAATGGAAGAACGTCTTGGTATAGTTGAGAAAGTACATTATCTCGAGAGTGAATTGCCGATTTTTTCCTCGGAGAAACACACCACATCCCGCATATCGCGAATTTCTCTCTTGTATCCCCGAGGACGTGTTTCTCCATTGTGATATTTCAGATTCTCAGAGAGGAGTGAGCTTTTAACTATGAGTTGATTCAAACGACGCCAACACACGTGAGATTCCTTCGAGGCTCGCGAGACCGCGTCTTCACGTAAAATTGAACGATTTTTTCGCCTATTTCCTCTCAATCATCTAATATCGTGCACTTTACAACAATGACAGAACCGTTTGGCATCGTTGCGAACTATCGAGAACGGACGACTGCGGAACTCACTTTATTTCGAAATCTTCTCTGTCCAACACGGAGAAATTCGCAGAAGGTTGAAGGAAAAATCTCTAACGAACGCTTGAATATTCCGTTTACTTCGCGAAAATAATTTATCCCGGTCCAAAAGTTCTAGTGACGCCGTTTCGCGCTGCGTCCTTCGCTGCAATAAGCTCACATGTAACTTTGCTAGGCGTGTTGCAATACAAAAGATTCGCTTCATTCTCGACATTGCTATTCGGTTTCATGTTCGCATACACTAACGAATATTAAATTACCTAAACGCTACTTATCGTTTATTAATGACTTACGAGTATATATCACTATGGCTGTGTGTGTGTGTGTGTGCGCGCGCACGCGCGCGCATGTGTGTGTGCGAGTCTTTTCGGAACATAGACTTGATAACTAGTTGTCGCCTAAATGCGTATTATAGTACCTCGTTGCGCCAATGTTCATTACTCCGGGGCTAGAGATCTCTTCGTGGGCGACGATTGCGAGTAACGTTGCGGCCCTTCACGATCAATGGCACGAAGTCGATCCAGGTACAAATATATCGAACGGTGCCTCGCGTCCTCCTCGATCGGCATCCACGTGAGGATCGGTGAAAACGGCGATTTTGCAAAACGAGCACGAGAGTCTTTGAAACATTATTCCCCCCTTCATTCCTTAAGCGGAAGGGGAGCAGGGGGGAACACACGCTGCTTCAGCTGCTCGCTCTAGACGTTCAAGTCGGCCATCATTTTGCGAAAATCTGCCAGGGTGTTGTAATCAGGGTCCGAATCGATGTCCGCGAAATCCTTGTTAGAATCGGTCTTGACGAAGCTCGGATTGTATCGGCTCAGCGATAACGGGCACGGCAATAATTCGGGCATCACCGAATGGTGGGTGATTAGAGCAGTGAGCGTAGTGAATTCCTTCGTGAAGCCCTGAAACATACGGCGAAAAATATATTTATCGCTCTCGTGCAGCGCGATATCGACGTTTTGTTGTTCTACTTTCTTCTATTTTTTTCATTCTATTAACGCATCGTTTCAATGTGTGATTCTTTCCAATCTTAAATTTTACATTTGAGAGAAAATTTTGTAGTAAATCAAAGTGAAAGTAGTTGTGCCGAACTGGAGATTATTATTTCCGCTGTTATTGCGCACGTTTCGTTGGCGTGATGTATTGTCAGTACACGGTGACATTATAAATAATAGTTGACAAAGTTTCCCTCGCGTTTGCATGGTATTTTCAGCCATCGTGTGAGAGACGGTCGCGTAACGAGGCGAGCATTAAACATACGTGTGTGCTCAGACGAGCTTCGTGTATCAGAATTATCGCGCGCGGCATTCATTCGAATCTGGGCGCTGTGCTGTTACAGAGATGCAATCCCCGTGTTGGTAGGGAGGGGCGGAGTTTTGATTTCCCTACGGCACCCGTGGCACATCCAACAAAACTCATTTATACTGGTTTCGGAGATTATCAAAGTCCGTGGACTCATTTAATCCATCCTACGAGGGAAGTTCGACCATTTAAATACGCGTATCCGAACGGCTAAATGTGGTAGCTTTGTACCGGCGCGGTATCGCGAGTATAATGTCTCGCTGCTAAAAGCTTCAGTCCCGCGCAGCTAATTTCAATATTAACTTCCACATACGAAGGGTCGACTCCCTTGCTCGCTCGCTCGCTCTCTCTTTCTACCTCTCCTTCCCATAGGTATTATCTCGCGCGTTGAAAAGGTTTCTAGGCCGATGTTTAGTTTGATGAAATGTGAAGATGTCGCGCGTGTAAACGCAATTAGCGTGAGAACACACCGCGTCTGTTAAAATGGACACAGCGACTATTTCGAGAAAGAAACTAAGCTAACCAAATTGCAATCTATACGCGCTCTTTGGACATTTAATTTCGAACTCCTTTGCAAGAGTGAAGATTGGTATCTTAGTACGGCGAGTGTACCGAGTGCAATGAGATACTCGCTTTCCTTTTCTTCTTCTTTCAATTTTTCTTTTTTTTAATTCAGATTTCTTTCATGTTACGTCTGTTCTGGTACAAAAGAAGACTCACTTTTGATTTTAATTTACGTGCATTCTCGTGGCTACCTCGGCTCGACACCGCGTGCACACCGAAGAGAGAGATATATACTCACTTTGATTTTGTAACCTTTGTTTGTACGCATTATGAGATAATGGGCTATTCCACTCGGCTGGAATTCGCGGGGCACACGGAGAGAGAGGGCGTAACATCCGGGCTTGCTGGTACTCTCTCGCACCATGAACGCTCCTTCCGGCTCTTGGCTCAATACCTCCAGCGTTATTTCTCTGGAATCACAGACGCGTCATTAACATTAAACGGCCAGGAGGTTGTTTCCCTTACCGCGCGAAAACAACAAAGGGATGAAATTAAGTTTGCGTGTAGCTAAATCTAGTAGCGCGTACAGGTTACAAGGAAGCCACTATCGGTTTGCTCGGCGGATACTTAAAATTAGCCGGCGTCGACGTGCTATTTCGGCGCGCCGAGAAACACTCGCGCTATATCCCGTTATACTCCGTCACACTCGCCGGTGATATAGCAGTGTCGCCAGACCAACCTGGGTATTCCAGCCTGAAACCAGGGCGCTTTGCGCAGCTCGGCCTCCTCGCTTCGATTATTCAGGCTGTCTGTTCTCTCGGGCAAAGGCGGCGGGGTTGGCGTGGAGCCATGAGTGCTTCCGTCAGCGGGCACCGAGCTACTCGACGTGCTAATTTGCGATCTTCTTTTCGACTTGAAATCCGCCTCCGTCCCCGAACCGGGGCAATTGTGTCCTATCCTGAAAATGAAGGAGCTGTCGTTCACGACTCACACGACTCCTCGGTGCCTCGCAGCAAGGCAACGGGGCGAGGAGGAAGAGGAAGAGGAGGAAGGGTAGGTAGGTAGAGCGGTCGCGGCTCACCTGTTGTTCTCGATGTTGAAGTTCTTCGCGGTGATGGACGCGTTGATGGTGTTGTCGAGACTCTCGGACGGCGGGATCTTGTTGTATGACGGCCTCGTACCCTCCGAGTCGATGATCGCCTCGTTTATGTAGCCCCCGGAATGGGGCCTGTTCGATGGGCTGGTCGGTGTGCTGCTACCGCTGACGAGCGGGCAGCTGTCATCCTCACCGTTCAGCCCAAGAACGTCGCGTCCACCTGTCAAACCCATCGCCAGCCGCTTTATCAGCGGTGGCTTGTCCGTTAGCCTCTTGTACGAGTTTAACTCCGTCGGTGAGTTGCTCTCATCGCTGCTCGGTGTACTCTGCTGGGAAATGCTCTTCGACTCGTCCTCGTTCGTTATGGGCCCGAGGACGTTCGTGAACGACGGCCGCAGGCCGGGAATCGAATTCGGCGCCTGGAATTCGAATAATCGTTCAAAACCCCGCAAGTCGGGACGCAAACGAGAATGTTACTGGTCGAGAAGGGAAACCGTCGGAGGAGTTTGTCCGCCTGATGAATTTTTGTGACTCATTTAGTGCTATTCGTTTCGTGTACACACACACACACACACACACACACACACACACACACACACACACACACACACACACACACACACACACA